ACACACACACACACACACACACACACACACACACACACACACACACATATGTATATATATATACCCGATAGTACGAGGCCCTATATAATACATACAAATCAATTTCTCGCTCTATACTTATAATTAACTCGCGATATATATCAAAATACTATCGCACCGTATAAATAAGTCGACGAATCATCTGTCGTGTCGATATTATGCTTATGAATTAGAACCATATCTATCTTTCAATAATTAATACATTAATTAAAGTTCTTTTTTTTAAGGATACTTGCTAAAAAAGTATATTTATTTCGCTTATTGTTAGATCGTTGCGATCATCTCTTTAAAAAATATTAAAATATACAGAGAATATTCTAAACGACATTTTGAATCTGAGAATAATTTAGCTATTGCCCGATAAAAACAGTCACGTCATATCCACGTCGAATCCACGTAATTTCGTCGAATCCACGTAGCAATAACGTGGATCCACGTATTGTTTTTATCGGGTGTATGGTTTTATTGTGATTATAGTATACGTCCGAAAGTGAAGCGAATAAAGAGCAGAATAACACAAGCATTTGCATGAAGTTTCGATGGAATGCAATTGCCTTAGTATCGCTAAACATTCAAGAGTACAATAAGTCACCAGTAATATTTCTTGCATGTATTACCTAGCCACACTGTAATTGCAATCAAATTGTACGAGGATATGCAATTTGTACGCGGTGAGTACGTACACACATATTTTACTTGCTCGAGGAGATAACGTACATGCGTTTACATATTAATCTCCGCGCATAAAGAGTCGCGGCAACACGTACGTAGAAGCGAATATCCAAAATATTCAGAAAATTATACATACTATTCTGAAATTTATCCCTTTATATAAAATACAACGCTCGTTATATGTATACTATGTGGTTTCGTTGCTATAGATATTCTCAAAAGATCCAAATGTCTTCCACGTACGGATGAAGATATACTAGCAATTATACTTAGAATTCCGTGGAACTCTTAATCACTTGCGATCAGTCACAACGGACGTTTGTTACGAATGCCATTGTTCTATTTGCATGGATAATATTAAGATAATGGAAATTAATGAATTATGCAAGACGACCTATCTATAAAATAAAAAATAAAACAACGTACAGATTTCTCGAGTAAGTGCTACTTTATCACATATTAGTGAAAATAAATTATACTTAATAACACATTGAGTAATAATCGTAAATCGTAAAAATGTAAAAAAAGATTCATAGAAGAATATCAAGATCGTTATCGTTTCCGGGACACGAGTCGCGTTTACGGAAGAGAAACGCGCAGGAAAGTTATCGATCGTGCGAGTAGCTTGTTTATTTTTATCTTTTATATACGCAAAGTCCGAATACTATGCAACGATAGAATTTTTATCATTCAAGCGAATAATGTAATGTAATGTTACGCAGTATAAAAAGTACCAAATTTGGCAGTTTCAGTCTGAATTCCCTACAGAAAGCCTGCACGAAGATTCATTAAATGGATAGATAAATACTGTTCGTATATTGGTTCAGTCTGCAATTCCCTCGCCGTAGAAGAGAACCGCTTTCTCTAGCAATAAGTTATAAATGTGTAAAGAAATACCGGTAATAAAAAAATGTATTTTCATACAAAAGAAGAAACTGTTAGTATAAAGGAAAGCTATTCCGTCCGAATAGAATACCGTTTCCATAAACGCACATGTCCCACTTGTGATTCCCCAGAGAGACAAACCTCCTGATCTAAGAATACTTCCCGTAGTAGAAGAGCATGGTCCGTTATGTGTAGGGATACGAATTCGTTCTCGCTGAGGTGATGCGCCAATAATCTACTAACTATTGGTTTATATTGAGTTTTTTTTACGTTATTTTATGTCTAATATGAGCTGAATATGAAGAGACGTATGAAGAATAAGATACTCTTTTTGCGTAATAAGCCAAAAATTTTTAACTTGAGGCGTCGGTTCTACGCTCGAATTAGGGAAATTTTCATCGAAAATGCGATTGACCCGGAGATCTTAGAAGACTGTCGAAGATTGTTGCTCCTTTTATCCTTCTCGCACTCACTTACTCACGCCTTAAAAGAATATGTAATTGTATAATATAACTGTCGATCCTTTTGTTTCCTAAGCTATGCTCGTGTTCCCCTACGCGTCTTCCTCGGCACACTTTGCTGCCTTTATGCAATATATTACAGTTTGATTCACATTTTTACACATACATAAAAGTCCATCGTGCCTTGTGGTCAGACGCTCGTTTATCTCGGATACAAAGAACAACATTCATTTCTCGTTGCTATACAGTTTGTAAAATATCGTCATACTTCAGCATTGAGAACGAACTCACGTCGGTATACACAGATATCTACATACATTTCTTTACTTCTTTCCCTTTTTTTATCGCTATTTTATATTTTGGCTTTTACATTAATTAATTGTCATGATTAGACAGGTACTACTATACGTCGCACCACAAAGGCATGATCTTTGTTCGTTAATCTGCGTAATCTCATTGACCGTTTATCGTATTCGATCTATTTAAGTAGTCAAAGTACATATATGTGTCGTGAGAGGATCAACGTCCGCGAAATTTCAACGGACAATGCGAGCCATTCGAGGTGCGGGTTCCCAGATCCTAGCACGCAGACTTGCACAGCAAAAAAGATTTTTTAATCGACTCGACCGTACATAGGTACGATGTTTTTCTCTATCCAGAAATCGCAGTTTGAATAGCCTTTCGCGAGCAGCGTGTCCTGACCGACAACCAAGACTCGCTTCGCGCCCGATTGATCGGCCTGCGCGACTTCGCCGTGCCACACGTAATGGTTGAATAGCTGTTGCATAGCCGACACGTGTCTCTTCTCCTCGGGCGTAACAGCAGCGTAGGTCCCCAGAATGGCCGCGGCATCGCTATCAGGATCTGCCAAATACTGTCGACGTGGCTGAGTAGCTACGTAAAACGGTATGTTGGTTTTCATCCTGGCAAGCGTCAACAACGGGCATACTACACGAATGTCGGAGATCATTGTGACCAATCCTTTCAACGTAGCATTGTAGCGCCTACAAAATAGTACACATAATGTACATACGTTTTATTATTATTTATGATAATTGATAAAAAGATTTTAAAATAACTATTCTAAGTACTCTATCGTCGATCGTTAATCGTAACATTCGCTCGCTCACCTCAGAGCCTCGTCTGCATAGCCCGAAGTCCCGAGTAGAGATTCTCGTATGATGCTCTCGACTTGCGTGGCGTTAAGAGTGACATTCGGTGACAGATATCGTGACGGGGTACCGGAGTGCGCGGTGGTGCCCATTACCACTTTCATAAGATTATCCTTATTCGCCAAGATCTGGCCGACGTGCTCCTGAAGAATCGTGCCGTCCAGAACGAGCCACTCGTGCCTCCTTTCCATGTAGGAAGTTCCGGCTTCCTTCATTTCCGGCAGACCCGCGTTACTCACGTACCACATCGCCGGCACGGCGTCCATGAGATCTTCGGCGCTCTTGCTTCTAAGGCAGGCGGCGTCGCTGCAGCGAATCGATTCAAGAAATTGTTTGTTTATGTTCTCAGACTTTTCCAGCTCCTTGCCCGGAAAGATCGCGCTACCGCTGGATATCCACGCCTTCGAGAAAAGAGCTTTGGCTCGACGATAGCCGATCAGCGTCGTCACGAGAGTGCCACCCGCCCGATGTCCCCACAGAGTGACGGACGACTTGTTGCCGCCGAAGTTCTCGATGTTCAACTGTACCCACTGAAGGGCTGCTATGATGTCTGATAATCCGTAGTTTCCCGAAGTTGGAGGGTGGGTCGCTCTGGTGAGTGGTTCGACCGCCAAAAATCCGAAAATTCCCATTCTGGAATGTAATCAATATCTTAACTGTAAGTATTCTTTTAATTATTTTGGACTCACGTTAACAGTGAACCAGTTGCAGATAAAAGACTGATTATTTTGCTAAAATATACGTTCAACGATAGAGAAAATGTTTTGACTAACGAAGGCAGGAATGCGTTTAAGTAGTAAGTTCCATATTTTACCGGAAGTTTGGCCGCACGAATACGACATCGCGGACGCGCGCCAGCTTGGCTGAAGGTTGCATCACTCCGGGCGAGCCGCCGCTCAGAGTTTCAGCGCCGATCATAACGACCACGGGTAACGGGGAGTCGTATCCGACCATTGGTGTAAACACATCAAGATAGAGGCAATCCTCGACGCCGTCCATGCGACCGGATATCTCACGCTGCCAGCAGCTGTTCGAGGTGTTGTGCGTCAGGTAAGTGCCGTTCCAGCAGTGCTCGATGCGGCTCAGAGATTCGGCCGATTGCCAGCGACGGTTGCCGACCGGCGGCATCGCGTATGGAATGCCTCGGAACGCGTAGGCGCCATCCTCGAGGATGCCCTGCACTGGACCGCACGACGTCACCGCCTCGATGTACTTGCCGTTCTTCAGGGGCTGGGTAGGAATTCTCCTGGGTCCGGCGAAAGCGATACAGATGATAACGATGACGCTGAGCAGGACCAGCACGGTCACCACTATAGGCCAGTTTAAGTATATATCAATTTCGTATATTATTGTGATTAATACGAATGAATATGCTGTTAAATACCACGAGATAAAACTTTGTATTCATGTACCTGAGGCAACCACGCGTCTTCGGAGCGCGGATATAAACACCGCCAAGGGATGCTTTGGTGGTTCAGCGTGATCAGTCCCATCCTCTCCGTCGAGTCGCACGGTTTCCATGCCATCTTCGTTAGTGATAGGACTCTTTTCGGCAGCGCCGTCGTCAAGTGTCTCGACACTCGCTAATCCGGCGGCGCCAGTCTGTCCTAATTCGGCATCGACTTCCTGGAAGAGAAGCATTATTTAGAAAAGAGTAGATTAATCAAACTACGAGTATTAATTTATAATTCTGTTTAGTTTAATTCGCTCTACCTGCCCACGAGAAGTTGCTCGGTAATTACTATAGACATTCTGTATATACATATACAATAAAATATGTTTCTTTTTTCGGACATGAAACTTTGCGTTTTTATTTCGACGCCTTTATCTTTTAATTTACCGGTCGTTTCTTCTCAACGGTGGGATATACTGTGATTATGTTCAAATAAAAGATGTTTCTTTTGTCATGCTATCCAACGATATTTTCTACATGACATTACATTCCCATTTGAGATTTCAAAGTTGACCTTATATTATAGTTGCTACTATTCCTGTTGATGCGATAAGTACTGTTGATAAGATAAGTAGTTGATATTACTTCCGGTCAGTTCCGGAAAACGGAAATATTCTCATTTGATAATATTTCTTTCCAACTTCCTTACCTCGCGTTTGTGGAAAAATCGGGTGACGGGTGGTCTGATACCCGTATATTATAATATATATTTAATAAAAATCTAGTTTTTGAAAAAAAAAAAAAATACATATATATATATATATATATATATTTATTTATGTAGAAAATTTATATAACTATAATATCCTAATATGAGAATATTAAAATTAAATGCGACACCATGCACTGGGTACATCGAAGATGCGAAAGACGTGAAACAGCTGAACAAAAAGGAATCGGCACTCGCACAGGTATAATTTACATCCGGATACAAATACCTACTCGCAGTGCATGCGTTCTACACGTAAGTATCATATGCCTTTTTAACGGAACCTCTCTCAGAAACTCTACCTATAGGATATCTTCCATAATATTATAGAATTACGAATATTAACTACGTCATACGCAAGCGAGACGTTATTATTAATTTACTCGATCACGCGTTCAAGATTTCCCCGCGATTTGACATAATCCAAAGAGGATTCACGTACAAGATTCATTAGTTCAACGCCGGAAAGTAAACAAAATCTCCTTATAAAAAAGTTACAATTTGTTTTTCACTTTTTGCGTAGGTTGGACCGCTACTTCAGACGAGTATCTTATACATATTCCTAGCATCAAAGCTATCTCGGCGCTTGGAGTGCAAGAGAAATCGAGAGAGGAGTTCAGAAAGACGAAAAAGAAGATACTGGAACAGGATAGAAGACATCTCAGGAAAGAGTCGTACGTGCTCGAGATTTGAGTACGCGAGCTTCTCGAATAAACGGCTTACGGATTAAATACAAGTTGGCTATATGATTTTTATGCATTCTCGTTGCGTCGCAGTCGCACAAAAATACGCTTTTCTCCTTTATGTTGTTGTTAGGGTCGATTCAGAGTATTCAGACACAGCCGTGCCGTATCCGTACCGTATCACGGACAGAAACATTAGACAAGGATTCCTATTGTCTCCATCCTTGTCTAATGTTAACGATACGGATACGGTACGGGTACGGCACGGCTGTGTTTGAATCGACCCTTATTCCGGTTAAAAAAAAAAAACGGTGAAATCGCGCTCGGACAGTTCATATTCTCACCGTCTAGATAAATTAATGTCGAGTACGAGAATTTCTCTCGCAGGAGAATAGAGTTAATCTTTACCACAATGAGCTTTCATTGCGCAACTAAACGCAAACCTGGATGTGGATCAATTCTAAATATTACCGAGCTTCTACCCAGTCGATAATGAGCATTGACACACATGTTATTATATTACATTTACATTGTTGAGTGCGAAATTATAACATAGATGTAATGTAACCAATGCTCTGTGTCAACTGGGTATTATATAGCTACCTAATCTGACTTCCAAATTATTTCGATGTTATCTGTCTTCAGAAAATTTGAGATAAAATATTTTTTTAGCTCAAGCGACACTTACTTTTTTCCTCCTGGGGAAAACGGACGACACCAAAGGTATCCGAATAGCGTTCAAGATTCCCTTTCGCCCTTCCTTCTCCTTAGAATCTTTAGCGGGCGTGGTAGGCTTTTCCGCAGACAAAGCATTTTGCTCGGTCTCCTTTGTCACCGCCGGGGTTGATTCCGCATCCGCGGGCTCCGTCGGTTTCGTCTCGTCATCCTGAAATTGATTAAGCAAGCTATACTTATATAGTGTTACGTGCCGAAAATAGGAGAAATCGGTCTTTGACATCTGTCCCTTTAAAGGACGATATTGCTCTCCTTTCACCTAGCTACTTTTCTCGTAACGTATTCTTTAAAGATAAAAGAGCAGCATGAACAGTATAATTCGAAGGAAATTATTGTTTTAGCAATTTTATTCTATTCTAAAGAATAGTGTGAGATAAACTTTCTTTTTCTCTCTATATCCCGCACTTAAAGTGGAACGAATATAATAAGCTCATCCTTTAAAAAACAGAAAGAATTGAATACGGAGGCTGTTTGCCACACATAAAGAACATATTTAGTGCTACCATACGACATTTGTTTGCCGCATAGAACGTCGAGTTTCGTCGGGGTTGAAAACCAAGGTGATTATTTAATTTCGAAGCATCGAAGAGCTGACAGTGGAATCAAGGTCAACCTCGACGGGACAAAGAGCGACCGCGGATGACGATGCGCAGTCGTCGTCATCGTCGTCGTCGTCGCCAGACGTTCGTCCGGAGTCCAGACGCTCTTCTTTTCTGTCGTGTGCGCGACAGATTATTATTTTTAGAGTAGCACCACTCCTCGGAGTCTTGAAACCTTGGACTTGAACGCTTTCAGGACGATAACTTGCGACCGCTGGTTCGATCTTATGCGCTACATTTCGGAGCCAGTTGCCTTGGGATGTCATATACCTCAAACATCTCGGTTCGAATCGAGCCTGGTTGTCTGCGAGTAAACAGAGATAGAACTCTATGTCCACGTGTGAATAAGGAGTTTATTTTAAAAGAGGTGCAACAACAGCGAGAAAAATAAACGCCAACGCTCGAAAAAAATGTTTACAAAAGGAAAATATATTATGCGAAATATGTAGTTTTATAAATGCAATTTTAGAAACCCGTTCGAAGACTAAAGAATCAAAGAGAGACGGGAAGTACAAAACATAATTGTGTAATTAATATATTTTACGCATCGTATCTTTCAAATATATTGAAGTCAAACCACCAAATATACAATGCCATCCTTAGCGTGAACTGTAGTGCAGCTCTGGAAACATCACGGATAATCGTAATGCTTAGAATTAGTACGCTCGTTTAAAGCGACTTGAAGGTACTTGAAACTTCTGCTATCAATTACAACGAGTTCCATGAACACTGCAGGATGTACAATTTAAGTTAATAGCTTTACGATTGCCAGAACCGTTAGTACGTAAACCCTTACCCAACTAGATTAAACAGACATATATTGCTCTTGAATCATCTTCTTGGTATCGCCATTTGACGCAAGGCGTAATCGGCTGCAAAAGTTCAATGCTTCCTACTTGCGATAAATCGACTTTGCCATGTTATTACGTTGGAAGAATCGCGTTTCAATATAATTACTATCATGCTATCATGCTATTTCGGTAAAGTTACATCAGACAACATCTCTAAAGCTTCTTAATTTTTAGATGTAAATAAAAAAAAGATATATCTTTACGCGGTAGATATGGTCCACGTAAAAAAACTGTTATTTTGAAAAACCGCGTAAAAAATGGTGCTATTTGGGAAAGTTTTCTTATTACATGGTTTTTTTCACTCGGTATGCGTCTATACCGTGTAAAAAGTACTTGTATTTAAGCCAACCATGTGATAAAAAACATTTTGTAATATATATTGAGAAAATGGATTACTTCTCTAGGATCTGTGTGTGTGTGTGTGTGTGTGTGTGTGTGTGTGTGTGTGTGTGTGTGCGCGTGTGTGCGTGTGCGTGCGTGCGCGCTGACAGCATATTCCACTCCGAGAAGAATACTGTTACAACTCAAAAATTCACAATTTTCAGGAGAGTGGAAAAACTCAATTTTTTTTCATTGTGAGGTAACTAACGTAATTACAATTACGATATCTTTTGTTATAATAAAATTTATACTGTTTTTTGAATCTGCTGTGATTCACTTGTCGATTCACTTATGACAGATTCATCCAGGAAACCGCAATATAATCAGTTTAAAAGAATAATAACACTTCTGCCCCGTGCAGCGGATTTCGCATATAGCCCATATATAGGCTTGTGACACTATTGTGATAATGTAGCTAACATTTTAGGCATATACTTTTTATGGGTTTAATTATTTAATTCAAAATTGAATTTTTTTGAGTTGTGACAGTATCCTTCTCGAGGTGCAATATGGACACTTTAAATAAAAAGTAGTACATATACTTATGTAATTAACCAAATTTTTTTTTATTATCACATTATGATTTATTTGCCTACTGTCTGTCTACGGTTTTTACTCGTTTTTTCAACATGATAATATATAGAGGGACAAGTGTTCGATAAAAGAAATTTTCATTAATTCGTTATTAATGAAGAAATTAAAATTAAAGTCTATACATGTACAGGAGAGATTACAATTTTTCGAGAAACCGCGTTATTTAGAAAAACCGCATAAAAAGAATCGCGTAAAAAAAAACGTAAAAAGAGAGTGTAATTAAAATTTAAAATATTTTTAGTCATTAAACGTACTTTTTATAATCCAATAATGAGAAAAATGTGTGTTTTCGAACGTTAATAAGACATCAACAAGACAGTACAGAATGTACAGAAAGATATTCTGGTTATCTCAAACAGAATTTCTGGTTATCTTGATATTTTGTAACTGGAATATTTGATAGAAATAATTATAGGTATCTGGATTCTTTTTCTGGATTAAATCTATACCAAATTTAAGCAACTAAATTTTTTTCTTGTGTATAATACTTTGCAGATTATCGAATGGAGATTGTATTAAACGCATTGAGACAAGTTAAACTCAACTAGCAGAGCTCCGTTATAATTTTGGAGCGTCTGAGCCATTAATTTGTGCTATTCCGCAGCACCAATTAAAGCGAGATGTTTCTTCATACCCGCGCTTCTGACTCTTTTAGATCGTCCAATTCCGCGCGTCAGCCGATTATTCGAGGCATTGAATCTCGTACTCTCGCTCGTAGGGATGTGCTTGGTGCTTATATGTACGTATGTGCTTGCTATATTTGGACCTCGAATGCTCTCAAGTGGAGTCGCGTGGCGCGGTCGCTCGCCACATGTGTCTCCGAGTGCACGTACGCACGCACGCACGCACGCATGCACGTGTGATGTTCATTTATACGATATTGGTGAGTCCTCGAGCTTTCTCTTTAAAAAAACCTGATGTTATTAATAAATGTAATATCTGCCATGATAATCCCATTAGACTCTACTATGCGGACGACGATCCATTTGCTCCGCGCCCACTTCAAGTAATATATTCAATTTTCTGTATCACTGCAGTTATTTTGAAGACTCGAACAATTTTTAAGGCAAACAATTATTTCCAAGATTAGCTCTTTCTATAGAAATATTCATTTTACAGATGGAAAATAATTACAGACTCAAGATGAGGAAAACTGCGAACATCTTTAAAAGAAACTTTGCAAAAGAAGGTTCTGTGTGTCAATGCTAGTACCTAAGTGCAGACGATTGAAGATTAAAATTGGAGATGCGAAGTATCCTTTTATTACAGGGCACACAGTAACGCTCGGTTGCTTCCAGGTTCAAGTAATGCGTATTTCTCCCGAGTGTCATTCGGGGAGATTCCGCGCCCAAATTTCTATAAATAAATTTCACGCAACGGGTGTCTCAAGGTCACGCATCGTGACTGCGATTCTTCAGGTCGCAGGATACATTTAATAAACGCTCGTTACAATCGGCCATATATTATCCCACTGACAAGTCGAGGATTATTTCGCGGCTAAGCCAAACCTACACTGTTGGAAAATTTTTGTAAGTTTGTTAAAAAAGGTCTTTGTTAAAATTTTTGTGTAAAATAATCAACACATACATGTGTAGATTTAATATATGCCTGGTATGTTAAGTGAACTTAACAAATTTAAAATGTAAAATTATTAAAATAATTTAAAGAATATATTAAAGTATATATCACAATTTGAACATATTTATTAAATGTGTTAAAATTTACAGAAAAAAAGTGTTGATTTTATCTTACAATCTTACCTTTAACATAAAAGTTATGTTAAATGTATACATATAATTAACCTCAAATTACGATCAGAATTACATTTCTTTTCTGTTGAAATATTTTAACATAGTATCGGTGTTACTATTTAACACATCCATATTATGTTAAATTAACACAAAAATTTGAGTGGACTGTTTGAGACATGCGATTTATGTTATATTTAACATAAATTTTTCAACAGTGTACAATTCCGTGCTTTTACGTCTAATTTACGTTGGTGTTTTATTCATTATTACGTAATAAATGAAATCTTGGAAATGTTGAGGGTAACGACAATAAGAAACTTGCAACAGCTGGTGAAGCTAGAAAGTTTCAAGTTTAAGACGTTAAGCCGATAAAGTGATTTAAATCTCGAATCCACTCTAATGCGTGAGACGGTAGTGAATAACACTGATGTAAGAAGCAGCTTTTGTAAGGAAAAGACCAGCGCGAGGTGCTTTCTTATTCGAAAACGGAATCTATTTCCGGCTGCCAGTTCTCGGTGGAGAGCGAGCACGTGGCTCGACATGCAATAAATGCGAGAATAAATGTATCATCACACACAGTGCTTTCCTGTCTGAACCAAACATTTATTACGTTTTTTATGTGGCCAAGTCTTGTGAAAACCCCATTCCATGAATGATATATCGGAATCGGATTCCGAGAGTCAAATCGGCTGTATTTTTTAACTTTGCAGTCTTGCAGTTTCACTTATGTCGCAACTATCTTGTCAAATGCGCGAAACGTCGCAGAAAGAGCGAGCTCGATTTTAATACAGGGTATATCTCGATGACAATGATGTTGAAAACCTTGATCTGGCTACTAATAACAAAGGGATAATTATTATTATGTGATACTCAGAATAACGTGGATTATACAGGATAGGTGCAAAATCGTAGTACAAGCGAAAACAAGGTGATTCCTCATGTCAAAATAAGACGAAATTGTAGAGTAATTTTTTT